TGTGTGTGTGTGTGGTGCAGTGCAGTGTTTGCGTTGTGTTCAGACACGTTTCCCTCAAGCCAGTTGTGTGGAAAAATTAATTAATAAGGAAATAATTAGCAATGACAGAAACATGAACTAAAAACCGTCTACAAACCTCCGTTCTCTCTTCGGGCGGGATGTTCCCCCGGTAGAACTGGACCAGCGACAACCATCTTGGATCAGTATTCCTCGGATCCTCCTGCCTCCTTGATGTTGAGCTTGTCTCGAACTCTGAACAAATGACGTATCAGCGTAAAGGCTACCACACCAACAAACTATAACCACGTCTCCAGCTAGCTAGGCCTATAAGCATTCACTCTCAGCCAGGGTCAGTTTATGATGCCTAGAATTTGATGAGCAGACACAATAGATGACAGCTATAGGAATTTTGGCGAACTTCGGCCTCTGGCACGCATGTTCATCAGACAGGAATTCAACACTAAAATTTTCTGAGCTTTGGTTACAAATGTACGAAGAGCGCTTGTTCTGGCAATGCTGGGAACACCGACGATGAAACTTTTGTAGGAGAATGGTTTGTGATAATTTAACTTTTTTCGTTGGGCGTAACATTTTAGCGGTACTTCATAAAGTCTAGGCAGCCAGCGAATATAACATACTCACACAAGACACCGTCTCTCGTGCAGTCAAGAGTAGTGTACTGAAAGAATTTCGAGATCTTTTGTTTTTAGGCAGTTCGGAAAGTTTGATCGATTTTTTCCGAGTCAGCTCCCTATCTGTCCTGGTGTTCAAAGAGAGTGGAGAGAAACCGGTGTACCGCCGTCGATAGTCCAGGCTACCTTATCGTCGCCATGAGGAGAATAAATGATTCTGTAATACAACAAAAGAAAAATGTGTTGTTGTTTTTTTACCAGTGTCTTCTGAAGCTCACAGAGTTATTTACTAAACTACCTAACAGAGCCTCTCCAGCCTTTGCACAATGTCTTGTATCAATTTGTCTTAACAGATTAATACTTTTGTAAATACCTGTTAGCTGTATTCTAGAAAATTCCTTCATAAATACAAATAAAAACCGATCTGGGTGGTTTCTACAGATTTTTAATGATTTACAGTTGGGGCAATATCGTTTTTAAAAAGCAAGTCCGTCATTTTTATTCTAATCGAGACATTATGCTTATTGAACGCATGTTTTGAGAACCTTTAGTGAAAAAAAAAATGTGTTCGCTATAAAATCAAATTCTTCTAACAAGTTTTGCCACCAAAAAATGTCATTGATGAGCTGTGACGAAGGCCACACACGTATACAAAATTTTAATGTGCGTGAGAAGCAAAAAGTGCTGTGAGCAATTCCATTTTCCGGGTGAGGGATCGAGATATTTAGTATTTTATATAGATTTATTAAGAATTTTTTTTAAAATTTAGCTTCATTTGTTGAGTAAAATTATGATTAAGTTAAGACAAATTGATACAAACTGCCATGCAAAGTATGAGTGACATCGTCAAAAAGATATTTAAGGATCAGTTGCACCGTGAATTTTTGACCACACTGTAAGTGATGCACTGCATAAAAAAATCAAGGTATGCCGTAGCTTAAATATATGAGAATCAACACAGGTGCGGGTCTGAAGTTCTCACAATAAACACACAGGTTTAAACCAACGAACGCACACATTAACTAAAGTTAACATGATATTTTAGCTATCTCGGTAAGTAAACAAACTTTAAACAAGCACACATATACTCTAGACACAAACACCATAATTAGGCCTATAAACTGGTTTCTTTTCACATTTAATTTTATAGCATACTGTATAGATCTAGATCACAGAGCTGCTTGGTTGCTGGCCTGATAGCTATGATTTAATATAGCTGATCGTATTTCACAATCTCTGTATATGTTTACTTAACTTCTGTTCTTTTGATGTGCTCCCGATGAAGCCCAAGCTGGGTGAAACGTTTGGCAATGTTGAAAATAAACACTGCAAAATTCTTCTTACTTGAAATGCTATAACCTGTGTATTGCGGGATAAAAAAAACCCTCAACTACATGCATGTAAGATAATTACGAGTACTTTGAAACAATGTCAAAGAAAAAGAAGAAGAAGACGACGACGTCGACGATATGATGATGATAAACTTTAGGTGTTTCGGTCAGAATTCGCTTTGTTTGGGGTTTTTTGGGTTGTTGTTTTTTTGTTGTTGTGTGTGGGTTTTTGACTTGCGGCTAGCTGCAGCCCCGTCAGCCAGAAGCTGATTGGCTGCGGTAGGCTAGTGGTAAATATTGTGTTGGGCCTAT